TGAATCCAGATCCATACTACTACACCAATTCAAGAGGATTTAGATCAAAGCAAACCTAGTGCAAAACATCCAAAACAAAGAGAGAAGATACATAATTCAAATCCAACAAGTTAAAGAACATTGATAAGGTGGAAAATTGAGTTTTATTTTTCCAATAAGAAACTCATCTATTTATAAATTATATCGGCCGGTTTCAGAAAATATCAGATGCAAACTTTCAAAGAAATGCCCATGATGCCAAAGCGAGTAGATTAACAAAACTTCGTACAATGACAATGCAGAGATGATTGGCTTGAAACATCAAAGATCCCCAAATCCTCTGTTTCACAAATGAATTGTAATGAGCTTCAATGGAAATAATGTACAGCAATGCCCATCTAAATGTGCATTAACTTACATACATCACACTCAATTAAGTCAAAGTAATATGGTGGACATACAGAACTATTAAGAGATTTGCTTATACTTAAAAGTCCTGAAGGATTAAAAGCAGGAATTATTAGCTATTGTAATGCATGTAAAACTTATCAGCATTTTTCTAGCTAATTAACCCTAGTTACTAATTCTACCATCACAGCTACCAACTATGACTGAGAAAGGCTTTCTATGATGTGAGAATAATTATAACTTAAGATTACTTGTATTTATATCCAGCTGCCACATGTTTGGAAGACATACTTATCTACATGCCAACCAAGAGTTTTAATTCGCACATGTCAATCATCTCCAAGGAAGAGCCTAATACCATAGATCAAGAGCACATAAGTTTTGTTTTTCATAGTCGTCAATCTAACAAGCATGAGCACCACACATTGAAATGACACCAAGCATAAGTGAGAAAAAAACATGTTACAGATAAACAAGGAAAAAAAATTGAACGTAACAGTTGTCATCTAACTTTAAGAAAAAATATACTTAACACCTAAAATTTCAAAATCATGTTATACAATAAAGATTCTTCTCCTCAAAACAACAATGGAAAATTATCCTTCACATAGATGACAAATGAACATGTTCAGCATATTCAAGAAAATATCTAATGATATGGATATTGATGGTATAGGTAACTGATAAAACCAGACTAGGGTTCTACTCACCTTTTCTTGCCGGAGACTGTTCGTCGGAATTTGTTGGGGCGAGAAAGTGAGAGAAAATGAGAGAGGAACTGTGGGGAAATGAAGGAAAATGAGAGAGTCAACAAATTAAGTAAATGGAATCAAGAAAAGCCTAAAGCTCGTCTTACTCTTAGACCAATAAATAGAGCTGATGAGGTTAAAAGTTAAAGTTGCTAGAATACAATAGTGGAATTGGAATTAGAATGTAATTTCATAGCTTCGTATGCACAAAATAAACTACTCTCATTCTCCAAATAACTTCAATAATACAATTGGATAGTTAAAACAACAAATTGATAATCAAAATAAAATATGGAGAAGAAGTGATTGCCGATGAAAATCAATAATATAAATGGAACCAACGTGAATGCCAAGAGAGAAATTGATACCTCGCTAGTGAGATGGTGGTGGCGGTGGTGCTTCGAAATCGACAGAGAGAGAGAGAGAGAGAGAGAAATTGAAATCGCTCTGAGATGAAATCAAAGATGAATTTTTGAGAGAGAGATCTAGAAAGAGAACCGAAATCGCAGTGGTAGTGCGGACCGATCTGAATCAAAATTGCGGTGGAGGTGCAGACCGATTTGAAATCGGTGAATCCGTGAGATTTGAATCGGTGAATCTCGCTACCTTGCTGGTGCAGATGGTGGTGGCGGTGGAGCTTCGAAATCGATGAATCTGTGAGATTTGAAGGTGAGATTCAAATAAGGGTTTAGAGAGAATTGAGAGAGAGAGGCGAGGTGAGGATTCAATGTTTGTTTATGTCTGAAGGCCTGAGGGTTTACAAAGGCTTCTCAGATTCAAAATAGCACGTGGCCTATTTGGAGGCGTTTTTAAACGCCTTTTATAACAAAACGGTGTCGTTTTAATTAACGAAATATGCGAGGTTTTTAAAACACCACTAAATATTAACAAAAATGACATTTAAAAAAGCGCCGTTAAAAAAACGCCGCAAAAACCCTTATTTCTTGTGGTGAGAAAATACATTTCAGTGTACTTTTAAAAAATATTTACAAATTTATTGAAAATTTTATGATTTTAATTATTAATATTGATAAAACTTGTCACTAATCTGTAATTATTTTTTTAGGAGTATATTGATATGTAATTTTTCTATGTTTTTATTCTCGTGAAAAGGTTCAAATTTTCAAACCACATAATTTTTAGAAGGAAAATGATATACAAATTTACATTCTAAATCTATTTTCTAAAACTAATGATGTATAATTGATATTATTGGTTGATGATTAGTTAAAGAAAATACGAGAGAGAGTGTTACCTTAAATACCTTAATTAATTGTCACATCACTGGATTTAAAAATTGTGTTTAACTTTCGGACTTGTATAGTAATACTATTTTTGGAAATATTACAATATGTATTTAGTATAACTAAAGGGTTGTTTGAGATGATCTAAATAAATATTTTTTTTAATTTTTTACAAAAAAGATATAAAAAAATAAAGAAATAATATGACCTAAAAAAGATTTGCTCTGCTTTTTCACATATTTTCATAATTTTTTTAAAAAACATTCCAAACATCATATATTTTTTCATCACATGTTTTAATAAAAAAATCGAAAAAAAAAATTATTTCAAAACGTAGCCTACAACATATGATTCATTTGGGAATCAATTAAAAAAAATTAAAAATCAACTTTTAATTTATTTTAAATCACATCACTTTCTATATGAAAAAATTAAAAAATTAACTTCTAATCAACTACTCAAAAATAGGCATTCGGATCCTCTAGAGTCATCCTATGAAGTGATCTTCTAGAGTGATCCTTCATGGAGTGACGCGTGTCCCATTAACAGAACCAATGGCTAAGATTATGCCTAGACAAAACGACGTCGTTTTGGTACCAAAAAAAAACAAAAAACAAAAAATTCAGAGTTTGCAGATCGAGAGAGAGGATGAGGAAGAAGAAAGTGGATTTGAGAGAAATTGGGTTTGAGAGAAAATTGGTGTATTTGTAGAGAAAATGGGTTTGAGAGATGAAGAAGAAAATGGGTTTGAGAGAAAATAGGTGTATTTGCAGAGAAAATGGATTTGAAAGATGAAGAAAAAAATGGGTTTGAGAGATGAAGAAGAAAATAGAACTTTCTGGGTTTGAGAGCAGGTCTAAGGGTGTTGAACGGGTTCAATTTGGCAGTGACCCAGATCGGAGTTCGGGCACATATTGGATTGCTTGTCTGTGTGATTCATTGTATTGCGATGAATCCCAAGAGTGCTGTGGACTTGTGTGTGTGTACGCATGCTAATCTTGTAAAGTAATCTTTGGAAATGTGGGGGTGAAACATAAATCTGGTTTTCTGAATAAGATTCATGGAAACTTGTTTCAGTTGTGAAGAAGAACAACAACATCAGCAACTAAAGGATGAACCTCTTAAAAACCTCCCAGGTATCAAGTATTTTCATTTATTTTCAGTGATTTCGTTTTTTACTTCTTATTTGTTACATTTTAAATAAATAAATAATATACTTGCCCATCAAATTTGTTGTCTGTTAACTATGGTCCTTCATTGGTATTCTCTAAGAGTGGAATACAATTTAGAGCTAAAGATTGATAGGTAGATAGACCCATTTTCTCTCAAACCCATTTTCTTTTTCATCTCTCAAACTCAAGAAGTTCCATTTTCTTCTTCATCTCTCAAATCCATTTTTTTCTTCATCTCTCAAACCCATTTTCTCCGCAAATATACCTATTTTTTCTCAAACCCATTTTCTTCTTCATCTCTCAAATTTATTTTTTCTACAAATACACCAATTTTCTCTCAAATTCAGTTTCTCTCTGTAAGAGGGGCTAATTTGAGCCCACTAAATTATTTAGGCCCAATAGCCCAAGATTAGTGGGCCCGAATTTATCGCAAGTCCAAGAATCGATGGGCCCAGATTTATCGCCATCAAACGGATTGAATCGCTGTAAGCCTCGAAAGGGTTCGGGTTTCGAAATTGTTCTTCAAGGACCTTGAAGATCTTCGAATTTTCCAATTCTTTTTCTTGAACCCTCTCCTACACTCTCAAACTCACTTTCTTCTTCCTCATCCTCTCTCTCTCTATCTGTAAATTCTGATTTTTTTTTTTTTAAATACCAAAACGATAACGTTTTGTTTAGACTTCATCTCAATCATTAATTCTGTTAACGAGACACGTATCGCTTCGTGAAGAATTACTCTTGAAAATCACTTCACAAGATGGGACGCCAAAAATAGTCCATTTAAAAAATCTCATTTGGGCCAATGACGGCCCCGCCGAAGTAGACTTTTTGTTTTGGGTAATTACGCCGAAATAGACTTGAGCTGATAGAAATGATGAGAGAGTTTTAGTGGAAATCTGACTCTGATCCTCTCACATTTCATCCTAGTCTCATAATTATTGACCAATCACACTCCAAACCCATTCCCCATACTCGCTCGTACGTAGAAAAACCACTATACTCGCTCCACCCCGTTGAATTTCACCATTGTGACGACGGCGTTTGGACCAATGTCTTGTGAATTCAATTCAACCAACGACCTTGATAAAACTACCAAACCACCATTTCCATAAATGTGACAAAAGGGAGTAAACCGAGAGTTGCGGTTCACCTTTATTTGGACAAAAACATCAATAGGCTTCCTTCGGAAATAGGAATGGCAACGGGGCGGGGCGGGGCCGGGGATCACACTCCCCGTCCCCGATCCCCGAAGGTACGAATTTCTCCGTCCCCGGCCCCGATCCCCGACGGGGAGTCTCTCATCGCCCCCACCCCCGTCCAATTTAAAAAATTAAAAAAAAATTTTAAAAGAAATTTTTTAATCTTAAATTAAAATAATAAAAAAATTAAAAACTAACTTACTTTTCACACGAAACCATAATACAATAATAATAAAACCTCGTAATCTTAGCCCCCTTTTCTCCAAGTCCCAAGAGGCCCCCTCTCTCTCTCTCTCTCTCCCCTCCATTCCACTTCCTCTCTCTAGCTTCTGCCCTCCAATTGCGATGTCGATGGCGATTGCGGCGGTACCAGAGAATCTAACCAGAGAGCAGTACGTCTACATGGCTAAGCTCGCGGAGCAAGCTGAGCGCTACGAAGAGATGGTAAAATTCATGGAAAAGCTCGTAATCGGCTCCACCTCAGCCGGCTTCGAGCTGACCGTAGAGGAGAGAAACCTCCTCTCCGTTGCCTACAAGAACGTGATAGGGTCGCTGAGAGCGGCGTGGAGGATCGTGTCGTCGATAGAGCAGAAGGAGGAGGGGAGGAAGAACGAAGAGCACGTGGTGCTGGTGAAGGACTACAGATCCATGGTGGAATCGGAGCTGTCTGATGTGTGTGCTGGAATTCTGAAGCTGTTGGATTCGCATCTCATACCCTCAGCATCGGCAAGTGAGTCCAAAGTGTTTTACTTGAAGATGAAAGGTGATTATCATCGTTACATGGCCGAATTCAAGGTTGGGACTCAGAGGAAAGAGGCAGCTGAGGACACTATGCTCTCCTACAAGGCTGCTCAGGTCTATACTTACTCATTAGCTTTTGTGTTTAGTATTATTGAGAAAAGAGTTGGAGATTGAGTACTGAGGCCTCAAGATTTTTCGAGATCTTAGGCTAAACCTCATTTTGAGGCCTGAGGCCTTAGTTAAATACGATTTTGAAATGTTGGGACGGCCATGCAAACAAATTTACTCGTTAATTAATATCTATTAAAGTGAGAATACAAAAGAAAGTTGCAAACTTTGACAGGGAATTGGGTGTTAGAGAGGCCATCATTCTTAGATTTTTAAATTCTTAGTGACCATTTGGCTGAATTAGGGATTCAGAATTTGGATAACATTCCTATATGCAAGGATGGATCTAAGGGTTGCGGAGGGTGACTGCACTTCCAAAATTTTGAAAAATATCATATATTATATTAAAAAAATTAAAAATATTTTTAAATTATTGGGGTTTGCACACCCAAACCTACCTTTGCATCCCTATAGTGATATATATAGGTGTATGTGTGTATGTACATAATATGTTCAATTGTTCGTGTATGTCTATGTTGGATTGATAGGTGGACATAAAAGGCCCACTTATCTGATTGGTTATATGTATCTGAAGGATGCGTATATGAATATCTATTTGTATATGTGCGTGTTATGTAGGTTCAATTTGTTTGTTTTTATGACTATGCAAAATTCAATTATGTAATTCTTGCGTTATTAATAGGATGGAACTATTGAAGTATGTTATGTTGACATGGTAATATGCAAAGTTTCATACTTTTTATCTGTCACACAGAGAGATATAAAATAGTTTAGATATATCTGATGAACAAAATCTGTGGTACCAGAAAATTCACCAGAAAAAGTACCAAGATTTTAGATCAATGGTGTAAATTTAAAGTTGTTGTGAGGCCACACATTGATTGAATCTTGACCATAGATGTTAAATTCTAGGTGTCTTTTTGAGTATTTATTCTGCGTTTGTAGCATTCCTGATATCTGATTACGTAAAGTTTTATAATCATGCAAAACATACGAAATTAGTAGAGTTTTGTGTGGTATGTACTACTTTTTAATCATGACTTTTGGCATTGTACTAGATTTCTAGGATGCTAATATTCAGAATCTTTCAATTTAAATCATTTTCCAACAATGGGTTTGTTTAAAATAAGATAGTTATTGTTAAAATGCAATAGTTAATTTGTTGTACATATGCAATTATATGGAACACCTGTTTGATTCCCTAAAGGACTCAGGCCTCGGTTCAAGGAATGACAATGACTCCGTTGACCTTTTTTACTGAGTGAAAAGCCATTTGTTGTAAATATGAAATATTTTATTTTATTTTTTACAAATTCCCAAGTTAGTGTTGAAGTCTCAGAGTGTACTGCATGTACATACATCTCGTATGTATGTCATGCACCGTATGTCTCTTTGCGTGTTCCGCCTGTGCTTTTGGTGCATTTGGCTGTTGTGATGTTTATTTCATTGCCTTTTTATTTATTTATTTATGATGACGGGGTGTTCGAGCCAGCTTTCATTTATCTCGACTAATCTCGGGATCCACACAAAGTGACCCTTCACGTAGATCGGACAAATCTCAGACAAAACTCGTAAATATGACCCCAAAGAGTTGATAGATAGAACCTAGTGAGTGTTGAATCTGAGACCTGTACATATTTGTAAAATAGCATTCATTGATGATGATTCTACGTGCTACTCATTAATATACCTAAGAATTGCTATTGACCAAATTTTATTTTTTTAATTTTTAATTGGTCAAACTGTGAAGGATATTGCGGTTGCTGATCTTGCTCCAACTCACCCTATAAGGTTGGGGCTGGCACTCAACTTCTCGGTTTTCTACTATGAGATTCTAAATGCATCAGAGAAAGCTTGTAGCATGGCTAAACAGGTTTGTTCCATTCCTTCAACAGGTAGAAATGCATGACTTGCTTCTTTATTTTTTCTTAGTTCCAAAAGTATGTCCATGAATTGATGGCAGCCACTGTATGTCCATGTATACATTCACTTTACCTCTGTTATTAGGATCACATATTCTTTATGTGCTACCGTCAAGGAGTGTTCATTATATAAACTTTGTAATTTGGTGGGTACATAAACATGTATTGGGCGTTTCAAAAAAACCTCAGCCACGAATGGACATTTACTCTCATGATGATGAAATGGAACCTTGTGATAATTTTGGTTAGTTTTAATTGTTTATTTCTAGACTTTTTTGAATCTTGTTAACTTTGTAAAAACCAATTGCAAATTTAAGTTGATGTCTGATTTGATAAATTATATGTTCTTAATTGATTATATTGCATAGCACTTATGGAAGGGATGAAGAGTAAATTGAAAAGAAATTCTCAATTTCAAGTGCATATGTGGGTTTTCTAAAGGATCTGGAATGGCAAATGATACGTGCCAAACCCCTACCTTTTCACTTCTAATTGTGTAGCAAATTTCTCAAGTTCCCACTTGACTATGGCTACTCTCTCTCCCCCACCTTGTATCTTGCTTTTCTGTAGATTTCAACGTAGAATCCAGGCTCTGAGCATCTTTTGTAAATTTGATCTTGGTTATTCAAGCATCCACTCTCATTCTTCCAGATCCTATGCCTCCCCAAACTCCATGTGTGTACTTCAGATCAACTATTATAGTTATAATCTTTGCTTTATGATCTTACTCTAAAACCAAACAGCAATATTTTGTTCTTCGTTTTGCTTTGGGGAATTCAGAGTTTTTTTATCCTTAAATGTTATGAGAACATTTTAGTAAAACAAAATAGACTTTTTAATTAAAAACCAATTCTGTCCAAGTTTAATGCTTTAAGAAGGGACTTCAAATGGAATTTTTGTCTATCCAAACCCAATTTAATTTTTTGAATTCTGTCTATTCCGCAAGATCAAACTATATTCCGGTAAAATCCATCCGCCCCTAACACAAGCTTTATTGTCAGCATTCTGAATGTAGCAAGAACCTGAAAAATAAGAAGATAGTTATTGAAAAAAGGACAAATGATTATAGATTAATTTGCTTTATATGCAGGCCTTTGAGGAAGCCATTGCTCAGCTGGACACTTTGGGAGAGGAGTCTTACAAGGACAGCACTCTTATCATGCAACTACTGAGGGACAATCTCACTCTTTGGACTTCAGATATGCAGGTCAGTTCATCTTATTATGATTATGTAGGATTTGTTCATTTTAAAAAGGACTTTTTGGTATACGATTTAGGTTTTCAGGGTAAAGAGGTTTTATTTTGCAATTTTACTTATTTTGGTTTACAATGATAGAAATCGGTGTAGAGACAAGAGTGTATTGGCTGAAAGTTTGGTCATGGGAATTTCACAACTGAACAATTTTTTTTTCCTGATATTTTTAATTATCTTATTTATTTATTTGTGGAGGTTGGTATTTGATTCACACTCATGAGGGAACTTTTTCTTTCTAAATTTTGCCACAATACCCTCCTGTAAGGAACCAATTCTTGATTTTAAAGATTCACCTGCTATAGCTTTAATAGCCTACTGTGAGTCTATCTCTGGATGAACGCTATTACATCTGATGAGCTGCACTGCTCGTTCCTTATCAAAACATATGGCTTTTTGAACACAAAAGTCCAGCATCTAAATAAAAGTCAACAATTTCAACTCGGTTAAAACATCAAAATATTTGCTCATCGCATGAGAAAATGAAAATAGAGAGAAGGAACATCACTAGAAAAGAAGAAGAAAGTGCAAGAATTGCTATCCTCTTCTTGAAATCTTGAGCACAACAATGCCAGTACTCCAACAATGTTAGTCTCATTAACCCTCTTCAGTTTCCAATCGTAACTCAACTTTTTGGGTGAGCTGGTAGTAATATTAGTTACTGACTTTCGAATGCATATCGCAATCATGGTTCAAAGGATTGGTTTTCTAGTTGTCTAAATTCATCTGAAGCTAAGCTATAACTCTGTTGGGGTGATTCATGCAGGAGCAAATAGACGAGGCTTGAGCTGATGAACCAGTCTCTCCTCGAGGGAGGTGGGCTTGAAATGTCATAATCTTTCTGTAATTTGCATGTATAAAACTGAACATGTCCTCATATTCTTAGTATGCACTGTAATGATTTGCTAATTAAAACTTGCTCTGGTTTCAAAATCCGGATTTCATGATTTCTGTTGATGGTCGCTTAAAGTTAGTCTCTGGATTTTTATTTTGTTATCTTGTTGTAAAATAATTTTTGTGCCAAAGTTCAAATGAATTCTCTCTCAATAATGCGGTGAAGTAAATTTCTTTCTTCGTGATTCAACCATAGATTTACTTTCTTTCTGGCATTTCGATAAAGCAGGTGGTCTCTTTGTTTCTGCAATATAAGTCACCGGCTCAACTCACGCCTGGCCCGTCAAACTATTTCTGAGCACCACCTGGTAAATATTATATGGTTGTGAATTGTATTTAACTTGAAAAGGTTTAAACCGTTCAACCAATTGGGGTGGTTATAAAAGTTTAAAACTACTGAAAAATGATTTCTTAGTATACTGTTAAAATCATTCATGGTACATTTTTAATTAGAAAAATATAAAAATGATTTCTTAGTATGCTGTTAAAATCATTCATGGTACATTTTTAATTAGAAAAATATATATTTTTCCTACATGATACCATTTTGTAATTTATGGATTTTCAATAGGTCAAACATACGATTACTTTTTGTAAGAAAAATTTCTGCAAATAAGAATTTTGAAAGCTCAATCTTCCAAGAAAAGAAAAATTTGAAATTAGAGCTTTTCTTTCTTTTCTCTCTTTATCTATCATCAGTTGTGTATAACTTCTCAATCTCCTTACAACTGGAATTTTTGTACGAGTGTTGTGGATAGGGCTGCAAATGAACAGAATCGTTCGTGAACAGGCTTGAGCTCGGCTCGGTAAGAGCTCGTTCGAACTCGGTTCGTTAATATTTTTTTGTGTTCGAGCTCGAGCTTGTTAAATTTTTAATAAACAAGCCCAAACATTCTAAAACTCGGCTTGTTAGTTGGCTCGTTTAATATTTATTATTTATATATTAAATAATATAAAAAAAATAAGAGAAATATGCTATGTATATATTTAAAAAATATAAATGTAAATAATAGTTAATTATGGATAGTACATTTATATAATAGTGGTAGTAGATATTATTATTGGAAAATGAGCCGTAGCTCGAAAATCTTGGCTCGAAATTGGCTCGAATGTCATTTTGGGTGTTTTGGGTGGTCTGAAACAGAGGAGAAAGAGGGAAAGAAGAGAGGAAGAAGAGAGGAGAAGAGAAAGAGGAGGGGAAGAGGGAATGGAGAGAAGAGAGGGCCCCTCCGCTTTTGCCGTCGGCCGAGCCCCTCCGCTTCGTCGCAGCATCAGCGATCGTCGTAGCACCACCGCCGTCGCCTCCGGTCCCGCCGAGCCCCTCCCCTTCGTCGCAGCACCACTGCCGTCGGCCGAACCTCTCCCTTTTCTCATTCCTTCTCTTCTCCTTCTCTGCTTTTGAAATTGGATTCGAGTCAATTTCAAGCTCGACAATTCGAGCTACGTAGCAGTTCCAATTATTATTTTAGTAAAATATGAACTTTTTTTAGTATATTTATATATATTGTATATATAATTATATAATCAAAGTTTTAATTGTAACTTTAGTCTCACATGTAAGTATGAATTTATAAATTTTTTGGCTCGTTAAGGCTCGTGAATAGGCTCGAGCTCAAGTCGAGCCTAAACCAACTCAGCTCGAGCTCGGTTCGTTAAATTTTTATTCAACTCAAACTCGAGCTCGAGCTTGTGCTCGTTAAAATCTTAATAAACAAATTCAAACATACTAAAACTCGACTCGACTTGGCTCGTTTGCGTGGGTCACTTTGAATGGCAAATACCAAAGCAGAGCACTCATCATTTTTTATGGAGAGAGCAAGAAAGGCCTAGACAATCTCAGAGGCCCAAACACCAAGACAAGTGAATTGGACTGTCTTCGCTGAAAATCACATACAGATCATTGATTTTGACTTGTTTGTGAGATTGACTTTTAGTCACTTTTTTTAATTTGTAATAAAAGTTAAAAGTTGACTTTTTTAATTTTTTTCATTTAGAAAGTTAGTTTTTAGCCAATGGTAAAATTACAATTCTACCCTTCATGAGTCAAAATGTGTTATATAAGTAGGAATGGCAATGGGGTGGAGCGGGGCGGGGCCGGGGACTACTCCCCCCGTTCCCGATCCCCGAAGATTACAAAATCCCCGCCCCCGCCCCCGATCCCCAGCGGGGGAGCCCATCACCCTCCCGTCCCCGTCCCCTAACGGGGATCGGATTTTCCCGACCCCGACATATCCCCAAGCTTCTTTTTTTTTTTCGAATTTTGTTCAACAAACCACTGAATAATCAAAACATAGATCTGAGTTACTCAACATAGATTTGAAAAAAATTTTGTTCAACAAACCATTGACTAATCATAATGAGTACAGATCAACACAGATTAAAAAAAAAATTATTAACACAAATCAACATCAAATTATCAACACAGATCAACATATATAATTAACACAAATTAAAAAAAAAAAATTTGAACAACACAGATCTGAGTACAGATCAACAACAACAACATCAGATCAGAGAGAGAGAGAGGACAGATCTAATAGGTCTGCTCTGAGTACACCTTCATCATTTGGTACATATTTGAGCGACGCCAATGACCAGGCTCTATGGCGAGATCGACAGTGACGGTGGCTATGGCGGTGGGTTCGGTGGTGGTGAGAGACGGACCTTCTACTAAAGAATGGAGAGAGACGAAGTGGAGAGAGAGAAAGAGAAACCGAGGGGCGGAGAAGAGAGAGAGAGAGAGAGGATGGTCGGGGCCAGCGGTGGTGGTGGTGATGTCGCCATGACAGTGACTATGAGAGAGCTGTGAGAGAGAGAAGAACGAGAGAGTTGAGAGAGAGTGAGAGTTGAGAACGACAGAGTGAAGAGAGAGAGTTGAGAGAGAAGATAAGAGTGAAAGAGTTGAGTCAGTGAGAGAGTTGAGAGAGAATATAAGATGAAAGCAGATATTTATCTAATACAGCTAAGAGTTATAGAGGCGGGGATCATCGGGGAAATTTTTTCGGGCCGAGGCCGGGGCCGGGGTTGAGAAGCCTATCCCTGTCCCCGGCCCGAAAATTATCGGGGATGTATTTTTCAATACTGTCCCCGGCCCTATGGGGAATAATTTTCAGGAAAAACCCTATTTATCGGGACGAGGCGGTCCGGGTCCCCGTCGGGCCAGGTTGATATTGCCATCCCTATATATAGGTGAAGTTGTAAATATTTTAAACTGAATGGGAGTAGTTTAGTCATTTTATTATGATTTGACATCATAAATAAATATTAATCAAAAAAATCGAAAACCACTTTTTACTAATTTTCCAAATCATTTGTCTAAACAAACTACAAACTAAACTTAATTAAAAATTAAAAAGGCCCTTTTTATCACCTTTTCAAAATAGGCCTTTGTTGTGTGTACGGAAAAAGCTTCTTTGTCACTCTTGAAAAGCAAAGAAACTGATAACAATGCTATGTGATTCCTCGTTTGGTCCAAGTCCAGCAGTGTCGGTTGTTCAATGCATTCATGCTTTGAGCATGAGGTCATGAACCTGTGAAACAGTCCAAAAATGACCTTGAATTTCTCTACCATGATTTTAAATCATGTGAAGTTTCAATTTATTTATTTATTTATTTATTTTAAACATTTGGGAAAAAAGGGGAGTCAAAACTGTAATAAGTTTTGGCCACATATGAAGTTAAGTGTTGGTTTGAAAATTCACTTTTCTTTAGTGTTGTAATTTTTTTTTTGTTTCTTTATAAAAAGAAATATAAAAAGATTAAAAAAAAAAATTGACTTTTTATATATTTTAGCCAATTAACAAACACGAATCAACTTCTTTCTTCCTCTATTTATTTTATTTTATTTTATTTTGGTTTAAATTACCCTCATCTTTCTCAAAGTATATAAAATACAACATACCTTATGGTTTAACATAATTGTATTGGCCTATCTCATAGCAAGATTAAAGAAATCGGAACTAGTGTAGATCATATAAAAATATAAAGATAAGCAAGGTAAGTCTATATTTTAGTATAAAAGATATGATAATATCTTTTTTTCATCCATATGATTAATGAATTACTGATGAATATGAAACAAAGCGTTACGTAAATTAAAACCTTAAGAGTGACATGGGTAGGCCCACGAGGCATACGGCCCACAGCAAACCACCCCGAACCCATCGCTTAGGACCAACAGCATAACCCGGTTGGCAAAGCCCAGGACAGCTGGAGGCCATCTAGACATGGGGGGCCAATGGCATTCGGGCACGTGGCAGGTAGAACACGGGCCACATCAGCAGACAAAGATCTGCAGAGTTATTACCACAACACATCACCATTAATGCATCCCATCACAGCATTTATTACGACAACACCTCCCCGTCGGAACGGAGCCCCCTCGCCCTGAACAAGGTAAGCTACAGCACAGGCTTTCGGCGGAAGGGGGCACATCACGAGGGACATTGAAATGATTACCAAAGGATATAAGCAAGAATAGAAAGACAAGAGAAAGGTTAAGTTTTCTATCTCTCCATCTCTCTCTCTCTACATTTTCTTCCTCTACTAATTCTCACGCCTGAGGGTTCACTAGGGGACGGCCCCGTTCCCCTTTGGACTTGCATGCAGGTCATTTGACGGAATCACCATCCCAAACCGGAACTCGAAGAGCCTGGACCAGCCCGACCCATCCACCCGGGACGGACAGTATCGACAGTATCATCAGTTGGCGCCGTCTGTGGGAACCTGTGGTTTATCCGTGCGCTAGTTGTGTTCGCTAACGCCGGAGCCCTCCTTTCTCACTATTACCTTTTTCCTCTCACACGCCCAGGTGTATGGTCACGACTAGGTCCATGGCCTCTCACCATAATACCACCGATCATCAAACAGACCCTTCCCATCCAAACAACCCACCACAGTACATCATCGAACTTACTAACAGTATCAACCGCATGGCCGAGCAAAACCAGGCCCTGATCAATGCCTTGCTCCAAAGAAACCTCCCTGCTCCACCCCCAGACATTCCACCCAACCAAGAAAAAACCCCGGACCACAATGCTCCGCCTCCCCTTCTCCCCAACCCAGAAGGTTCACAACCCCCTCCCCCACATATGAGCCTCCCACCTCCGCCTCCACGCCCGCCAATCGTGTCGCCAGCCCCTGAGGGGGAAGCCAGCAGTGTCCAGCCCCCCCTGACCGACCATGGCGACAACATTCCTCTCTGGGACGCAGAACTCCGAGCCATGAAACTCCAACTACAAGGGGTCACGCAGAACATCCAGCACAAGCCCTCAGTTACCGCCAACTCTCCTTTTGTTGCCTCCATCCGCGACAAACCATTGTCCCCCAAGTTCAAAATGCCTACCATCGACTCCTTCGATGGCACGACAGACCCAGTCGACTATCTGGAAACCTACCGCACCCTCATGATCCTCCATGCTTTCCCGGACGAGATCATGTGTCGAGCTTTTCCAGTGACACTAAAGGGATCAGCTCGATTGTGGTTTAGTCAGTTACCGGCGGACTCCGTCTCTACCTTCCAACACCTCAGTGACTCTTTCCTGAGCCACTTCATCGGGGCCCAGCGTCAGAGACACCCAGCCACCCAACTCCTAAACATCCGTCAGACTGAGGGGGAGTCGCTCCGCAGCTTCGTCACCCGCTTCAACACCGAGGCCCTTCAAGTAGCGGAGAATGACGACAAGGTCATCCTCACCGCCTTCATGGCCGGCCTGCGGTCGTCGGATTTCCTTTTCTCCCTCTCCAAAAACCCTCCAACCACCATAGCAGCCCTACTATCCAAAGCCCAGAAATACATGAATGCTGAAGATTCCCTGGCCGCTCGGCAAGAGCCCAACCCTAAAAATCCGATCCCTAGAGACAAGAGGAAAGATTCCGAAAATAGAGCCGCCCAGTATAATAGCCAAACACCCCACTATAATAACCAACCCCCCCGTGCCGACCGGTCGACTCCGACCCGACCGCCCGGTCGGTTTGAGCGATACACACCCCTCAACTCCCCTATGGAGCACGTCCTCAACCAGATCCAACGGGACTACACCCTCAAATGGCCCCTACCTTCACGAAACCCTTCCACTCGAAAAGATCAGTCCAAATACTGCCGTTTCCACCAAGACCATGGTCATACCACCGACGAGTGTATTAACCTCAAAGATCAGATCGAAACCTTCATACGCCAGGGCCGCCTCAGCCGATTCACAGACACCCGCCCTCCACAGAGGCAAAGAACCGACCTCACCAGGAACAATCGCCGACAAACACCACCCCGCAATCAAGCCCCACCTAACCAAGGCCACGATCGCCCACCACCACAACCTCAGCCTCCTGGTAATCCCCCTCCACCAGTCGGAGAAATCCAAGTTATTTCAGGTGGCCTCGCTTGCAGGGGACCGTCCCGCTCGGCTCAGAAGGCAGAACTCAGGAAAATCAGGCAGGGCTCAGACAAAGCAGTGGCGACGGTAGACCGACCTCCAAAACAGTCAAAACAATGGATCGAACCCATCACCTTCACCGACATCGACTGTGCAGGCATCCGTTACCCACATGATGACCCCCTTGTCATTTCCGCCATCCTCTCCAACTACAAAGTCAGACGAGTCCTCATAGACAACGGCAGCTCTTCAGACATTATCTTCCTCAATTGCTTCCGCCAGCTCAAGATTGGGGAAGAAAGCTTGTCTCCTCTCCAAACCCCCCTGGTCGGCTTCACCGGCGACCGTGTGACTTCCATCGGCTCCATCGATCTACCTATTACCATTGGCGAGCACCCGCGGCAGACCACTAAGTTGGTCACCTTTCTTGTGGTCGACTGCCCCTCTGCTTACAACATCATCCTTGGCCGCACAACCCTCAACGCCTTCCAAGCCATCACATCTACATATCATCTTGCCATCAAATTTCCCACCGATCTCGGTGTCGGAACTGTCAAAGGAGAACAGACCGTGGCCAGGGAGTGTTATGTCGCCTCACTCAAAGAAGTCAAGCGTTGGCGCCGATGCCGTGGATGAGGAGGAGGGTGGGTTTGTTGGGTTTGTGGGATTTGGGGTGCCAGAAATGGATGAGGGTGCCGTCGCCGAGATCGGTGGTGCTGGATTGGAGACCGGCGTTGCCGAAGGAGTACCTGTACAACCAATCTTGCAAGGTCGTCAGGCTAATACACTTGACCATGATGGGTACCGTATAGCAGAGAGAGATAGCGAGAGAGGGGGAGTGAAGATATGTGTAAAAAAATTCCAGCGGGCAGCAATGGCAAAGTTGCCGGCCGGCTGCCCGCCGGTGACAAAGAAATACAGGCTTAAATCTTATAGCTCTGATACCATGTCAAATGTCGGGACAGTTTATGGGGTCATGTCGGACCGTTGTAAAAGGCTAACCGGAATCAAATGTCGGGACAGTTTATGGGGTCATGTCGGACCGTTGTAAAAGACAGTTTATGGGGTCATGTCGGACCGTTGTAGAAGACAGTTTATGGGGTCATGTCGGACCGTTGTAGAAGACAGTTTATGGGGTCATGTCGGACCGTTGTAGAAGACAGTTTATGGGGTCATGTCGGACCGTTGTAGAAGACAGTTTATGGGGTCATGTCGGACCGTTGTAGAAGACAGTTTATGGGGTCATGTCGGACCGTTGTAGAAGACAGTTTATGGGGTCATGTCGGACCGTTGTAGAAGACAGTTTATGGGGTCATGTCGGACCGTTGTAGAAGACAGTTTATGGGGTCATGTCGGACCGTTGTAGAAGACAGTTTATGGGGTCATGTCGGACCGTTGTAGAAGACAGTTTATGGGGTCATGTCGGACCGTTGTAGAAGACAGTTTATGGGGTCATGTCGGACCGTTGTAGAAGACAGTTTATGGGGTCATGTCGGACCGTTGTAGAAGACAGTTTATGGGGTCATGTCGGACCGTTGTAGAAGACAGTTTATGGGGTCATGTCGGACCGTTGTAGAAGACAGTTTATGGGGTCATGTCGGACCGTTGTAGAAGACAGTTTATGGGGTCATGTCGGACCGTTGTAGAAGACAGTTTATGGGGTCATGTCGGACCGTTGTAGAAGACAGTTTATGGGGTCATGTCGGACCGTTGTAGAAGACAGTTTATGGGGTCATGTCGGACCGTTGTAGAAGACAGTTTATGGGGTCATGTCGGACCGTTGTAGAAGACAGTTTATGGGGTCATGTCGGACCGTTGTAGAAGACAGTTTATGGGGTCATGTCGGACCGTTGTAGAAGACAGTTTATGGGGTCATGTCGGACCGTTGTAGAAGACAGTTTATGGGGTCATGTCGGACCGTTGTAGAAGACAGTTTATGGGGTCATGTCGGACCGTTGTAGAAGACAGTTTATGGGGTCATGTCGGACCGTTGTAGAAGACAGTTTATGGGGTCATGTCGGACCGTTGTAGAAGACAGTTTATGGGGTCATGTCGGACCGTTGTAGAAGACAGTTTATGGGGTCATGTCGGACCGTTGTAGAAGACAGTTTATGGGGTCATGTCGGACCGTTGTAGAAGACAGTTTATGGGGTCATGTCGGACCGTTGTAGAAGACAGTTTATGGGGTCATGTCGGACCGTTGTAGAAGACAGTTTATGGGGTCATGTCGGACCGTTGTAGAAGACAGTTTATGGGGTCATGTCGGACCGTTGTAGAAGACAGTTTATGGGGTCATGTCGGACCGTTGTAGAAGACAGTTTATGGGGTCATGTCGGACCGTTGTAGAAGACAGTTTATGGGGTCATGTCGGACCGTTGTAGAAGACAGTTTATGGGGTCATGTCGGACCGTTGTAGAAGACAGTTTATGGGGTCATGTCGGACCGTTGTAGAAGACAGTTTATGGGGTCATGTCGGACCGTTGTAGAAGACAGTTTATGGGGTCATGTCGGACCGTTGTAGAAGACAGTTTATGGGGTCATGTCGGACCGTTGTAGAAGACAGTTTATGGGGTCATGTCGGACCGTTGTAGAAGACAGTTTATGGGGTCATGTCGGACCGTTGTAGAAGACAGTTTATGGGGTCATGTCGGACCGTTGTAGAAGACAGTTTATGGGGTCATGTCGGACCGTTGTAGAAGACAGTTTATGGGGTCATGTCGGACCGTTGTAGAAGACAGTTTATGGGGTCATGTCGGACCGTTGTAGAAGACAGTTTATGGGGTCATGTCGGACCGTTGTAGAAGACAGTTTATGGGGTCATGTCGGACCGTTGTAGAAGACAGTTTATGGGGTCATGTCGGACCGTTGTAGAAGACAGTTTATGGGGTCATGTCGGACCGTTGTAGAAGACAGTTTATGGGGTCATGTCGGACCGTTGTAGAAGACAGTTTATGGGGTCATGTCGGACCGTTGTAGAAGACAGTTTATGGGGTCATGTCGGACCGTTGTAGAAGACAGTTTATGGGGTCATGTCGGACCGTTGTAGAAGACAGTTTATGGGGTCATGTCGGACCGTTGTAGAAGACAGTTTATGGGGTCATGTCGGACCGTTGTAGAAGACAGTTTATGGGGTCATGTCGGACCGTTGTAGAAGACAGTTTATGGGGTCATGTCGGACCGTTGTAGAAGACAGTTTATGGGGTCATGTCGGACCGTTGTAGAAGACAGTTTATGGGGTCATGTCGGACCGTTGTAGAAGACAGTTTATGGGCTCCCCTCCACTCGGTGCCGCCTCGGTCAGCCCCGCTTCTACTTGCACCGCTGGAGCAATCTCCACAACCTCCACTGTTGGGATAACCTCCACCACCTCTGGGGCATCCTTGGCCATAGGGACCTCCACCTCAGTTGAGGCCACCTTAGCTTTCTTGGCCCCAGACTCATTTGCTGCTTCCTCTGGGGCACTCCTCTTCTTCTTCTTTTTCAGAGCTTCCACCTCCTTTCTGGCCTTTTCTTTTACAGGGTCCACAGGGGGCGGCCGCGGCTCAAAACTGCTCAAGTCTTTTTCCCCCAATGGCCTTGGGGGCGGTCGGATCCTCTCCCGCGCGATCGGTTGAGGCGGTCAGTCTCTTTGCGTGAGCACTTCAAAAGCCTCGGCCAGACCGAGCACTTCAAAAGCCTCGGCCAGCCTGAGCACTTCAAAAGCCTCGGCCAGACCGAGCACTTCAAAAGCCTCGGCCAGACCGAGCACTTCAAAAGCCTCGGCCAGACCGAGCACTTCAAAAGCCTCGGCCAGACCGAGCACTTCAAAAGCCTCGGCCAGACCGAGCACTTCAAAAGCCTCGGCCAGACCGAGCACTTCAAAAGCCTCGGCCAGACCGAGCACTTCAAAAGCCTCGGCCAGACCGAGCACTTCAAAAGCCTCGGCCAGACCGAGCACTTCAAAAGCCTCGGCCAGACCGAGCACTTCAAAAGCCTCGGCCAGACCGAGCACTTCAAAAGCCTCGGCCAGACCGAGCACTTCAAAAGCCTCGGCCAGACCGAGCACTTCAAAAGCCTCGGCCAGACCGAGCACTTCAAAAGCCTCGGCCAGACCGAGCACTTCAAAAGCCTCGGCCAGACCGAGCACTTCAAAAGCCTCGGCCAGACCGAGCACTTCAAAAGCCTCGGCCAGACCGAGCACTTCAAAAGCCTCGGCCAGACCGAGCACTTCAAAAGCCTCGGCCAGACCGAGCACTTCAAAAGCCTCGGCCAGACCGAGCACTTCAAAAGCCTCGGCCAGACCGAGCACTTCAAAAGCCTCGGCCAGACCGAGCACTTCAAAAGCCTCGGCCAGACCGAGCACTTCAAAAGCCTCGGCCAGACCGAGCACTTCAAAAGCCTCGGCCAGACCGAGCACTTCAAAAGCCTCGGCCAGACCGAGCACTTCAAAAGCCTCGGCCAGACCGAGCACTTCAAAAGCCTCGGCCAGACCGAGCACTTCAAAAGCCTCGGCCAGACCGAGCACTTCAAAAGCCTCGGCCAGACCGAGCACTTCAAAAGCCTCGGCCAGCCTGAGCACTTCAAAAGCCTCGGCCAGACCGAGCACTTCAAAAGCCTCGGCCAGACCGCGCACTTCAAAAGCGTCAGCCAGCCGGAGCACTTCAAAAGCCTCGGCCAGACCGAGCACTTCAAAGCCTCGGCCAGATCGAGCACTTCAAAAGCCTCGGCCAGATTGCGCACTTCAAAAGCCTCGGCCAGCCTGAGCACTTCAAAAGCCTCGGCCAGACCGAGCACTTCAAAAGCCTCGGCCAGACCGAGCACTTCGAAAGCCTCCGCCAGCCGGAGTACTTCAAAGCCAAGCAATACCACATTTTTAACACATAGTCACATTTTGACGCTTCTTCACAACTCCAGGACCACGTTTTTACCTAGTTAAATTCCAAACATGCTCTCATTTTTAACACTTAGTCACATTTTGACGCTTCTTCACCCGTGCTTAATATTATGTTCTATAATTTCCTACTCCAATTTTTCAATCCAACACTATTATCCTTTCAACTTTCATACAACTCCAATCATTACACGATATTTTTATTAACCCAACCTTTACGACCAGTTTTTATAACAACACTTCATTTATCTTGGCAACATAAACAAAATGACCAACATAAACAAAATTCAACTAGCAACACAAACAAAATAACCTTTGTACACATATTCATTACAATTAAATTCTTTATACAGTCATTAACTCATTCCTTTACAATATGTTCACAAGCTTATAAAAAAATAAAAAAAAACAAACAAACACCATCTGAAGTTCTCCTTGGCTACTCCTCCTCGCTCGACGCCAGATCTTCTTTTTCAATGCCTTCGTCCAGGGGGGTCTGGGCCACATCATCTTCACCTATCGTCACACTACTAAGGTCCAAGTGTGGGAACAGCTCTTCAGCTCTGCGCTTGAACATCTTCCACCCACTGTCCCAGAACTCGGCCATTTCGTGCTTGTAGAAGTCTGACTGCTGGAAGCTTTCAATTACCTCTGCTTTTGTCCTACCTCCAGCAGTCTTCCTTGATGGGCCCACCCCCCCAGACTCTTGCCCAGCCAGACTCCTGGCGACAGCGGTATCCACCACCATCTGAAATTCGGGGGACCTTTTATATTGCTCCACTGCTGCGATGCACAGATCAGGATAGGCCGCCCTCTCAGACGCCGCCATCGCCCTCTCCTCGTCCAGCTCTCTTTGCAGGGCCCCCCTTTTCGCCGCCGCCGTCGCCCTCTCCTTTTCTACCCCTTTCTTCAGGCTCTCCAGCTCAGCCACCGCCTTCGCCTACTCTGTTTCCCACTCCCTCAGAAGCCTCATCTTCTCCTCCTCCGCTCTGGCGCGCTCCTCCCCCAACACCTTCAACAGATCTGCAATCCTGGAATCTGCTTCATCCTTCTGCCTGACCAGCTCTTCATTGCTGACCATGGCCTCTTCATACCGCTCGACCGTAACGGCACAGGCCCTTTCAGACTCTTCTAACTTTTTCTGCTCACTAGCCAGTTGGAACTCAAGCGACACGACCTTACGACGTGTGTCCTCCAGCTCCAACTTGACTGCTGGCAGATCAGTATGGGCGGTCTTCTAGTCAGCACTGTCCTTCTTCAGTTTGGCCAGATGGGCCTTCGCCTCTTCAGCCTTCAACTTCGCAGCCCTCGCCTTCCTAAGGATGGCCCCTGCCAAGGTAGTTACCTCCATTTGGGCGGAGCATAACCCCCTCAGCAGGTCAGCCTCACTATATGCCGCCGCCGCGCGCAGAGCCGTGTCATCCACAATCTTCACCAAGCGGTCTGCCCCCGCCTTGGCTGAGCCGCCTTCTCCCTCCAACCTTCCAGCTACCGCCCGTGCATGATAGATCGGCGTGGCCGAGCAGACCCTCTTTCCTGGGGGGCAGGCCCCTTCTGGACCTGCTCCCCTCCACTCGGCGCCGCCTCGGTCAGCCCCGCCTCTACTTGCACCGCTGGAGCAATCTCCACAACCTCCACTGTTGGGATAACCTCCACTACCTCTGGGGCATCCTTGGCCACAGGGACCTCCACCTCAGCTGGGGCCACCTTAGCTTTCTTGGCCCCAGACTCATTTGCGGTTTCCTCTGGGGCACTCCTCTTCTTCTTCTTTTTCAGAGCCTCTACCTCCTTTCTGGCCTTTTCTTTTACAGGGTCCACAGGGGGCGGCCGCGGCTCAAAACTGCTCAAGTCTTTTCCCCCCAACGGCCTTGGGCGCGGTCGGATCCTCTCCCGCGCGATCGGTTGAGGCGGTCGGTCTCTTTGCGTTTCCTTCAACTTCGTGGCCTTAGCCAAAACGGCCCGATCCTCTACCTCCTGAGCTTTTCTCCTCGCCTCCAATTCCGCCCGGCCGAGGTCCCCGCCTTTTGGTTGCGGTCCCAGCCCTGCCTCAAATAATGCAGACGGCTGAACAAGCTCGTCCCATTTGGCCTTCTCTCTCTCTTTCCACTCCTTCACTCTCTTCACCCTCTCTTCCGCCATCGCCCCCAGCCTCGACTCCATTGACCTGGTTGGCACCTTCCAGATGGTGCGCACCCCCACCCCCCCATTAGCAGATACATAAAACCACCGTAGCCGCCACCCCTTGATCGACGTAGCCTCGCCTTGGCTGAGCCGTCTTCTCCCTCCAACCTTCCAGCTACCGCCCGTGCATGATAGATCGCCGTGGCCGAGCGGACCCTCTTTCCTGGGGGGCAGGCCCCTTCTGGACCTACTCCCCTCCACTCGGTGCCGCCTCGGTCAGCCCCGCTTCTACTTGCACCGCTGGAGCAATCTCCACAACCTCCACTGTTGGGATAACCTCCACCACCTCTGGGGCATCCTTGGCCATAGGGACCTCCACCTCAGCTGGGGCCACCTTAGCTTTCTTGGCCCCAGACTCATTTGCGGTTTCCTCTGGGACACTCCTCTTCTTCTTCTTTTTCAGAGCCTCTACCTCCTTTCTGGCCTTTTCTTTTACAGGGTCCACAGGGGGCGGCCGCGGCTCAAAACTGCTCAAGTCTTTTTCCCCCAATGGCCTTGGGGGCGGTCGGATCCTCTCCCGCGCGATCGGTTGAGGCGGTCAGTCTCTTTGCGTTTCCTTCAACTTCGTGGCCTTAGCCAAAACGGCCCGATCCTCTACCTCCTAAGCTTTTCTCCTCGCCTCCAATTCCGCCCGGCCGAGGTCCCCGCCTTTTGGTTGCGGTCCTAGCCCCGCCTCAAATAATGCAGACGGCTGAACAAGCTCGTCCCATTTGGCCTTCTCTCTCTCTTTCCACTCCTTCACTCTCTTCACCCTCTCTTTCGCCATCGCCCCCAGCCTCGACTCCATTGACCTGGTTGGCACCTTCCAGATGGTGTGCACCCCCACCCCCCCATTAGCAGATGCATAAAACCACCGTAGCCGACACCCCTTGATCGACGTAGGCAGCCCCACCACCAATCCCCTCCCCATCATCGCCTGTAGGGTGACCCAAGTTTTCTGCTGCCCCGACGCCTTGTAACATGAAAAGAACTCGTCTACCGTCATGGCCTCCCCCTCATTCGCCCTAGGCCATGCACTCGTACAGGCCAACAGAATCTTCCATGCGTTGGGCATCAATTGCCCCGGCGCTACCTCCAGGCGATTCAGCACGTCAACCACCACTTGAGGCAGTGGCAATCTCAGCCCACCTTTTAACGCCTCATCGTACAAGGAAAACTCCCCTGGCCTCGCGGTAGACGACCTTTCCCTTGATGTTGGCAGCAGTAACTCTACCTCCGCCGGAATCTGGTATCGTTCCCTGATAACCTCCAAATCTGTCGCCGTGAGTGTGGATCTGTCCGCCTTCGTGTGCCACTGATCTGGCTCCACCTGGCTTAGTGGCTTTGGAGCCAATATCAGGGCCGACGCCTCCGTCTTGTATCGCGCTGCTAACTCCTCTGCATCATCATCCCCCAGCGGGTCCACCCTCACATTGACTACTTCTTCTTGTGCCATTTCTAGGGTTTACTTACAACTCACTTCTGACGCAGGAACAAGGAAATTGAGAGAATGCTACACAGGTATGTCGCACACAGTGAAGGAATAAACACTTGGATATTTTGAGTTTTTGTACAAACGGTAGGTGAAACGCATTATACCCAACACCCCCGGTTTACCCGTATTCCATGGATCCACATTAATTTTCGCCTGTTTCAAAACCTTTCAAATCAACCGCCTTTTCAAAAACCCCCTCGTGACCTATCGTTTTATTTCTGCTCCAACGCTTCACTTTCCCCACGATATTACCACGCGTATGGCCACGATGCACTGTCCCCTCCCCTTCTCCTGTCCTTTCCATTTCAAATCATCACATGGCCCCACCCTACCCCCTCTCTTTTTGAGCCCCGTGCTGTCCTGGTCGGCATGCCTCTCAGCCACCCACGCGGTCGGCACGCCTCTCGGTCGACCTCTCCCGCTCGGCCACCCCCGCGGTCGGCACGCCTCTCAGTCGACCCCTCCCGCTCGGCCACCCTCGCGGTCGGCACGCCTCTCGGTCGACCCCTCCCGCTCGACCACCCTCGCGGTCGGCACGCCTCTCGGACGACCCCTCCCGCTCAGTCATCCTTGCGATCGGCACGACTCCCAGTCGACCTCTCCACTCGGTTCGCACTTCCCCTCCTTATTACTATTCCCTTCGTTGGACTAAAGCTGCACTCGGAAATGGGGGACTACTGACATGGGTAGGCCCACGAGGCATACGGCCCACAGCAAACCACCCCGAACCCATCGCTTAGGACCAACAGCATAACCCGGTTGGCAAAGCCCAGGACAGCTGGAGGCCATCTAGACATGGGGGGCCAATGGCATTCGGGCACGCGGCAGGTAGAACACGGGCCACATCAGCAGACAAAGATCTGCAGAGTTATTACCACAACACATCACCATTAATGCATCCCATCACAACATTTATTATGACAACACCTCCCCGTCGGAACGGAGCCCCCTCGCCCTGAACAAGGTAAGCTACAGCATAGGCTTTCGGCGGAAAGGGGCACATCACGAGGGACATTGAAATGATTATCAAAGGATATAAGCAAGAATAGGAAGACAAGAGAAAGGTTAAGTTTTCTATCTCTCCATCTCTCTCTCTCTACATTTTCTTCTTCTACTAATTCTCACGCCGGAGGGTTCACTGGGGGACGGCCCCATTCCCCTTTGGACTTGTATGTAGGTCATTTGACGGAATCACCACCCCAAACCGGAACTCGAAGAGCCTGGACCAGCCCGACCCATCCACCCGGGACGGACAGTATCGACAGTATCATCAAAGAGAATCTAATATAATTGTGTCAAACTTATGATATTTACTGTACATTTTGTTCCTTAAGTTTCAAGGTTTTCCTATTTTGGTCCTTAAGAGTAAAATTTTTCTCTCATTTTAGCCCCTAATATTTGTAATTTTTTCCAATTTACTTTCAAAACAAAAGCCTGTCCAATTTTCAATGGAAAATGTTATGTTGGCAGTCCCGTGGAGCCACGTGGCATAAAAATGGAAATTATACTTTGCCCTCTTTTTAAGTTTCACGATTTTTTAATTTTGGCGAGTATCTTTTTCCTACTATTTAACCCCAGAAAAAATGTTTAAAATTCTTATTTGGTATCTTCTATTCATTTTTTGTTTTTATTTTTCTGTGTTTCCATAAACAAACACAATAAAAAGTTTGAAAACGTCTATTTTTTTTCATTTTTGTGGAAAGCAGCTTTAGGAAATTTAGTAGGAATGGGCGTGGGTCGGTTGCGGCTACGAAACCTTCAATTCACCATCCGTCTGTCAGATTGGCGGATTAGAGAAAATCAATCTGCACCCGTTTGTCAATCCAGCAGATGTGGATTGAGCGGATTGACGGATGGATATAAATCAGTTTGACAGTTCAAAATTTTATAAATTTTCAACATAATTCAACTTGTGCACTTCCTCAACAAAAAAAAAAGAAAGTATTATTGTCAATGACTTAAAAAAGTATTACAATTACTGCATACCTCATCCAAATAAAGAAAGTTTGAAAATTTAGAATATTACAATCACGGTATGCCTCATCCACATATTATAATCACAACATACCTCATCTACATAAAGTATTACAATTTGTGATTTTTAAAATATGAAAATAATTCAAACTACCAAAATCATGAACAGAACAGAAGTAGAGATTGTATGCATTTGTATTATTATATCTATATCTATTTTTGAAAACAAAAACCAACAAACATATATCATCTTTTTTATTTATTATTTTTATAATTAGGTTTAAAAACCAAAAAATATAAATAAATAATACATTTATTTTTTTCAATTCAAAAAATATATTCAAGTTGAAAACTCTTTTTCAACAGAATATATTCAACGTAATATTAAATTCTTTTTCAATTGAAAATACAAATAGAATGTCTAAACAAA